TTTTGCATGGCTATATGCAAAAAAGTGTTGGCTAGCGATCTGCGAAAACCAGAGATCGATATCTCTTTCTATGGGGGAGTTATTCAAAATTTAGTCAGGGACATTGCTTTTTGAAAACGATAATAGTGTGTCCTACTAACCTGCTGCAATTACACTAGTTTGATTATTGTCTGCCGCTTTTAGTACTCGTGTGTCACCAGACAAGGTTACATATATATCATTTGTCGATGGATCGAGAAAAATCAGCTCCGGATAACCAAGGTCATTTAGTTCGATGGTACCATTTGTAGTTGAATTTGAATTTGGAGGAAATTGGAATACTGTTGCGCATTGATTATCCGATACATAAACGTTACCAGAACTAGCCTTTGCTACACCAGCAACACTTAGAAACTGATTAGCGGAATCACATGCACTGGGCATTCCATTACCAGCGAAAATTGTACCTGTTGAGCTACCTACGGGCCATTTTAAGACACGATAATTATTTTGGTCAGCAATATACATTATATTGTTTAACGTGTCAAGATGCAATCCAACTGGATTATATAATTGAGAAAGACTAGAGCCATTGACACCTGACATGCCAGCTACAGTTGTACCATTTTGATTCCATTGCGACTGGTTAGAGAAAACACAGACTGAAAGAGGATAGAAAAATTTATCATATGTCGGTCAAATCGAACATAACAGGAATTCTCTATCGATTTCTTCAATAGCTCTTTATAAGAAACAGTAATAATAAATCCGTTTTTCTTTTTCTTCTTAAGAGATATCTGTGTACATTTCGAACATTCACTTTTTTCAAATTCACATTAATAATTTGAGAAAAAGAGTCTAGAAAACAGGCATGCTATGTGCAATTTTTGCTAGATATATGAATATACATCATTAAGACGTTATCAAAAGTCTGTAATCACTGTTTATGTAGGTTTTTATATAAACTCTTTGCGTTGGCGTAATTTTACAACGAAATATTTTTATTGCTTAGTGTACCTAAGTTTTGAATAATGCATCACTCAATCAATTTATTTAGTCCATAGTCTTAATATTAACAAGGTAATGGCTAAAACGTTTGCACAAAGTTTGTCTGCATTTTGCCAACACGTATCGATACGATATTTCGATACAGATCTATAGTAATGCAAGCGTACACTCAAACATGTTATGCTTCATCGAAAAAGAAAATGTGGTTTTTATGAAAATTACACATTATTGTGAAACCTAACCAGTTTGTGTACAATATAATGGCTTTATACAAATCTTTTTGCTGTAAAAAGAAAACTGCAGTGCAGCTAGATTTCGTTCTGTTCTACCGTAGCTCTAGCGCTCCACAAGCCAAAGCGTACATCGAAGGAAAGTGTTCTGTAGAGTAAACATCTCTGTTTCCAGCATACACAGTTACAATGTACAACAATACTATACTACTCTAAAGCGAGAGGTGGACTTTATTTTTTTCAAAGGAATGATCAAAAGTTTTAAAGTACATACATGGCGTAGACAGATTTATTCATTACCTGCAGTTGTTGTTGTTGTTATTGTTGTTGTCGTTGTTGTGGTTGTTGTTGTTGTGGTTGTTGTTGTGGTTGTTGTTGTTGTGGTTGTTGTTGTTGTGGTTGTTGTTGTTGTGGTTGTTGTTGTTGTTGTTGTTAGTATTTCGGAAGTAGTAGTAGAAGTTACGCCTAAACAATGAGTATGATCACGAATAATTTAGACAGATCATTTTTCCGGAGTTTTAGGAGAATGAACGGAGGGTATAAAACGTTTTCAATTATTAAATTACATAAAGCATTCTGCTTGTGTTTTCTCGCTTGATTTTCCGAAGTCACATGAAATCTTTTTTGAAAATACAACACTTGTACTTGCCTTCAGCTGTTGTAGTTGTTAGTAGTGCTCCGGATGCAGTTGATGTAACTAGGAACATAGAATTTAGAACATAGAATTTACTTTCCTCAGAACTCTTTGCTCAACTAGGCTATATGGTTTGGAAAATTTCCTGACCAAAAACCAAAGACTTAGTGTTCTAGCCGTCAGGTTTTCCAGAAACCTTGTTATCAAGTTTCCTCACAAAATGGCGGTATGCACCTCATCTGATAGAAAATTCTCATCTGATATTCTAACCAGCTCAGTCATCTATCGTCTGTAGTTGATTTTGATTTTTGTTCTGAACGAAGCTTTTAGTAGGAGGGCGGGTTCTTTTGAAAAATATGTAGTTTTCCTACAGAACGAAAAATTCGAGAAGCCAAAAAATTTGGATTCATAGATTTTCGAACATGCTCTTCAAAATGAGACTACTTAGAGAAAAATCTGAAATAGTCGTTCAGCTTGGGTTGTCGTGCAATGGCTCATAGAAAGAAAACTTTCTTTTTACGAATCGAGAGCTGATGAAGTCTTTCAGGTGGGAACAAAATCCGGTTTTGACTCAATTGTACGTTATTTTTGTATATCGATTTTATCAATGTCCATGCCTGTGGACATCTGGGGATAAAGGGCTACGAAAGTCTAGACAAAAGCTATCTCATACCCACTTGCACCTAGTTGACTGAAAGCACTTTTAGTCAAGTGCCTGTCCTTACCCCCTGCCCTCACCCCTAATTTTGCAGTTAACCCTTCTAGGAAAATTTCTCTGTGCAAAAAACTGATAAATCTGAAAAAACCTAATTTTTGAACCTGTTTTTCACAGACTTTGGTTTTTGGACTATAAAGCAGTAAACCGTTCCGAACCCAGGGTTTTAGTCTTATTTTCTAACATACAATTAAATTTTGCATCTTTTAGTATATAAACGAAGCTTTTCAATTAAAACCAATTAATTAAAAAAATTAATTTAATTTGAAAAAGCTGAAACGCGGTTGCGACTAATTATAAGTCCAGCTCGCGTAGCGGAAACATTGTATAAAGTTGTAAATGAGTGAGATCGATAGAGCACCAAATTCTCCATTGATCCACGTAGAAAAATTAACCAGTGAACCTCAGACAACGGGCAAAAACTCTAAGAAAAGGAGACAACACAAGGTCGTCACAGTTCGACAACTCAGCACCCTTTATTATTTTGAATAGTGCTCAAACGAGGAGCATGCTATCAGAGATATAGCAGGTTTTTGTAGAGAATTCAATTCTCTATCGATTGAGTTTAGAACAAACTCTTTGGACTATTGGACAGCACCTCAAAAACAACGAACAAAAGTAATCTGCGACACCTTATATAACCAACCTGATCTAAACAGAAGAGTATGCTCTGTCATCCTTGCCGTTTAATCAGAAGGATCATCATATAAACCATCGGTCAAAAACAAATAGTAAATGTAACCCAAAGAGCGGCGAGGACACTTGTCTAAAAGTGCTTCTAGTCAATTACGTGCAAGTCAATATGAGACGTTTACACGCTAAGTGCAATTGGACTATTTCACAGGCAAATTACACTACTTAGGGCATACCAAAAGTAGTGGCAGTGGTATTTTTATCCCTTATAGAAAGGTTAAAGAAACTTTCTTTTTATATAGTCTGATAGAGAAAAGAATGTTCTATTTTTCTATGCTATTTGATCA